AAAGTGCTTGAGAATTTGCCTCGAACCTTATCTTCAGATTTTCTCACCGCCTTAGATCTTCATTATGTTCAGATAATTGGCTTGACTCGCTTCCATCTTGAATCAAACGTTGCATAAATTAGTTTTCCATACATGGAAAATACAAACTCCCACAAACACAGCCCTGCACAAGGAGGTCAATTTCTCTAAATCGCGAATTTAAAGTGCTTCAGATCACCTTGGGCAGAAAGCCCATGTAAAATTTCGATATCTGCGCTGCCACCCAGTTTAAATTTCAGGCTGCCTAAACTGTGCCTAAGTTGTGCCTAAACTGTGCTAAAGAGTGCTAGAATTGTGCCTTCTTCGATTTTACCCTGTGCTGTTGCACCAAAACCGTGCCTTTCTCTGAAGAGCGAATTTGTGCATACGCACGATTCTTTGCTCGTGTACACCCGTAGCATGCACCAGTCCTAAGTCGCTGTATGGCAAGTCTAGGTTCAAAGCAAGAATTAAAGCTTAACAAATAGGTTTCATTTTGCCGAGCGTCTGTTCAGTTCTAGATGCACAGATGTGGCGAGAACAAAACAGTTGACCTGCGCGTTCTGGCGTGTTCGTTTGATCCAAAATCTACCTTGTAACTGAACAGACCAAGGATAAAATAAAATCTCTTTGTGTTATACAGTAACAGGAAATATCTCAGGTAATTTTATTTCTATGAAACAAGAAACAAGTTGTTAATAATTTTTTTTAAACGAATTTGCAGAGAGTGAAAGCACGACTCGAAAAACTTCAGAATAAGTGCAAAAACTTGAAACACGTTAGAAACACAATTTACTGAAAACTACGTGAAAATGTATTTTAAAAAAACATTGTTTGAAATTGTTCTACGAAGAATTATGTCCGCTGCCATTCAGTGCATTTTCACGGCAAACTAGTCGAGACTTTTTACTTTATGATGATAAATTGGTAATATGTAATAGGCTAGGTAGAATTGTTTATTTTCAGCAATGATTATGTTAGTTCTATTAAACTAGGGTTTAGTGGAGGGATTCTTTGTAAATATTGTTAAGGCCTAATTCATTGCAGAGTATAGTTGTAACTTGAACCATATCATAAGTTTGGATAAGTTGTTACAGATTCACAGCAGTGTTTGCATTATTTTAGTGTGTGACTGGAGGAGATGTCTGAAATTCAGGCTATTAGTTTTAAGCTTTCATAAAGCGTATTAGAACTAATGTTATATAGATGTTCAAATAAGGGATAACAGTGA